AATGGATTAGGAAGCTATGGTACATATACACCATGGAATATTACTCAGCCATTAAAAAGAATTCATTTGAATCAGTTCTAATGAGATGGATGAAACTGGAGCCCATTATACAGAGCGAAGTAAGCCAGAAAGATAAAGACCAATACAGTATACTAATGCATATATATGGAATTTTAAAAGATGGTAACGATAACCCTATATGCAAAACAGAAAAAGAGACACAGATGTACAGAACAGACTTATGGACTCTGTGGGAGAAGACAAGGGTGAGATGTTTCGAGAGAATAGCATCGAAACATATATATTATCAAGGGTGAAACAGATCACCAGCCCAGGTTGGATGCATGAGACAAGTGCTCAGGGCTGGTGCACTGGGAAGACCCAGAGGGATTGGGTGGAGAGGGAGGTGGGAGGGGGGATCTGGATGGGGAATACATGTAAATCCATGGCTGATTCATGTCAACGTATGGCAAAACCCACTACAATATTTTAAAGTAATTAGCCTCCAACTAATAAAAATAAATGAAAAAAAAAACAAAGCAAATTAAAATTTTGGAATATGAGATAAGTTTCCAGACCATACACTGTATAATGGTTTCATTGATTAATAACTAGTCAGAAATCTACCCTGTGTGGAATGAAGGGAGGACATTTTGATACTGAGGCTGAAGGATAGGAAGAGAGAGATGTAATATAATAATAAAAAATATATGTAAGAATGATGAAGAAGAATACCTAGTTTACACTTACCATGGTGCTTTTACATGTACTATCTTGTTTTACACTCATGGTTTGAGGAGTATGATCCACTCTCTATAAAGCCATGGGACACTTAAAAATAAGAAAAAACAAAAATTGCCATATATCACAAAACAGTAGAGCATTATTATCCTTTTGCTTGACCTAAAAGAGGTATGACATTTTTAATTATTTTGCTTTTTTTGATTGTTAATGGCTCACAGTACCATTGCCAAGTCTGTAAAAAAGATAAATATGTACCTTATATTCAAATGTACCAAAAACAATAACATTAGATGAGATAGGACCATCCTAAGTATAGCTATCAATAGTCCATTTTGAAATGGGAGAAAAATAGAACTGTGAATTTATGAATATGTTTTCAAAGCATTCTCTCTAAGGTGTATAATTTAATCATTTTTACAGTTTAAATATCTTGACTTTGCATGGCATTGATAGCAGGTGAAAGGTTAATCTGTAAAATTGACAGTTCACCAAGAACTTAGGAAGTACCAATAAAGAACACATTTTTAACATGTGGAAGACTCTACCTACTAAACATAATCATTTTGTTTTCCTGCAAATACATTTAGCATTGCATTGCAAATGAGCTTACAACAATTTTTGACCAAAATCTTTCAAGCCATTGGCTTTAAGTAGAATACATGACTGCTCCTTTCTATATAATGGAAATTCCTATTCCATTGCCAGCCATCAAGCTAATTTTGGGAAAATTTGAGGAACCATATTTTACAATGTAAACACTGACTTTACTTTCTTGAGCTCCAAAATCACTGCAGATGGTGACTGCAGCCATGAAATTAAAAGACACTTTTAATTTGCTCCTTCAAAGAAAAGCTATGAGAAACCTAGACAGTGTATTAAAAAGCAGACACATCACTTTGCTGACAAATGTACACCTACTCAAAGCTATGGTTTTTCCAGTAGTCATGTATGGATGTGAGAGCTGGACCATAAAGAAGGCTAAGTGCCAAAGAATTGATACTTTTGAACCATGGTGTTTGAGAAGACCCTTGAGAGTCCCTTGGACTGCAAGGAGATCAAACCAGTCAATCCTAAAGGAAATCAACTCTGAATATTCATTGGAAGGACTGATGTTGAAGTTGAAGTGCCAATACTTTGGCCATATGATGCAAAGAGCCAACTCATTTGAAAAGACCCTGATGCTGGCAAAGATTGAAGGCAGGAGAAGGAGATGACAGAGGACAAGATGGTTTGATAGCATCACTGATTCGATGCACATGAGTTTTACAAACTCTGGGAGATGGTGAAGGACAAGGCAAAAACTGAAGGAATGAACAAAAACAACAAATTTTACGATTACTGTCTTAAAAAACCAGTGAGGACAGATGAACTTCCCAAATAGTCTAGATTTTGTGTAAGTTAAATATATGCAATTTCATTTCTTAATTTTAAATGACACCTTAGAATTAGAGAAAAGGGATGTTATCAGAAAGTTTTTCAGAGAGCTTTTTAAAAACATTGTTTTGTATTGGCTTATAGCTGATTAAAAATGTTGTGATAGTTTCTGGTGAACAGCAAAGGGACTCATCCATATGTATACATGCATACATTCTCCCCAAAATCCCCTACCAAGAACTTTTTATTAAGTAGACCGCAAATAAAGTTTAGATAGATTTTCATGGGTTTCTTGAGACCAACTCCTGTAAGTACATAAAATGCTCAAAAAGCCCCCAAACCTCCAACTGTCAATAGTATGTGCACCACATATGTGTATATTCAACAGTTCTCTGTAAACGAGTTATTCAATGTGTATATCACATGATATTAGTTGATTTTGCTGTTCAGTCTCTCATCGTGTCTGACTCTGTGACCCCATGAACTGCAGCATGCCAGTCTTCCCTGTCCTCCACTAGCTGGTTGATATATTTGTTTAATAATAGTGCCAAAGTGCAGTGGTAGATAACACTAGTGGTAACGCATTGCAGACTCTGGAGCCAGTATGTCCAGACTGCCTAAGTTCATATCCAGGATTTATGAAGTCCCTAACTTTTTATAATTTACCTTTATCTATAAAATAGTTTATCAATAGTACCTACGTCAGAGATTCAGTGAGCTTCTCCGGGGGCTCAGACAGTGAACAGTCTGGATTGAAGGAGTTGATGTTGTAACTGTGCCTAACACCTAAGAAAGGACCATGTAAGTGTTCTGTGCCATCCTCTCCCCTTTTATCTTTTTTATAGATATATTTCTCATATCAGGGCAGCTTTATTTTCTGAAAGGTTAATAAAATTTAGGGGTAAATGTGGAACCTGTACAATATATTTACTAGAAAAGAGTATAAACAAACATGTGGTGATTGCCCTCCTGTTCCTTAGAATTTAGTGGGTAAAATGGGAAAAAATAGAACTTACGAATGTATGATTAAATTTGAAAGGACTGAAAGCCAGTAAATACACAAATAATAATCACAAACTGTGATAAATGATATGAAAAAGCAGTGAAGAATAAATGGCAAAACAAATTGATTGGCTCCTGGCGTTGACTAAAACAGCCAAGGAGACTTAATGGAAAGAAGCAAAGCATGCTGATTTTTAAGTATTTTCATGAAATAAAATTAAATAACATTGCTAAGAGTTTAAAATTTAAACATACATACATACTAAGAAGAATCCTATCAAACTTAATGGCCATTTAAATCCATTTTCCATTGCACACACTTGTATATTTATTAAACACATACAATTTAGATCTTCTTCCTCACTTGTTATTTTTATTAAATATGTCCTTTCAAGGTCCTATAAAGGTTCATAATTACTTTTTAATGGCTGCACAATTTCACATCAAATAGCATATTCTCTTATTGTTGCATACATATGCTATTTTTAAAATTTAACAATTATAAATCATAAATTATAGTTTATAAATAAACTAGTTCTGTAGATTTTTCTTATTTTGAATTATTTTCTTTGGATTAACTAGAATAAGTGAGATTATTGGGTCCAAATGTATGATTTTTTCCTGATCCAACTTTTCTTTCAAAATTGATCTTATGTGAATGTTTTTCAATTATAAAAATATTTGATCTGTGTGAAAACTTCAAGCAGTACAAAAATATATGAGGTAAAAATATAAAGTTTAAAATTTTTTATCTTCCAGAGAACATTCTAATTATTAGATGTATATTCTTCCAGACTTTGTCTTATTATTTTGGGATTATACTCCATAGTGTAGACACAAACTGAATATAGTAACCTGCTTTATATTACTTGATGTCTTATGAACATCTGTTTATTACTTCTAGTCATAATTCAGAATATTTAATTACTGTATAATAAATATTTTCCTGCATGGTTTTGCTTTCTGTGTGTGTGTGTGTGTGTGTGAATAATCCACCACTGTTGATCATTCAGGTTGTTTCCAAGTTATTATTACTATGCTCAAAGGATCAAACATATGTCATCTTTTTGTACTTGTCAAAGTATTTCCATTTAATAAATTCCTAGAAGTAAATTTGGTGAGTTAAACTTGCTGTGCACTTAATCCGCCTGCAATGCGGGAGACCTGGGTTCAGTCCCTGGATTCAGAACTTCTCTTGAAGGGTAAGGCTACCCACTCCAGTATTCTGGCCTGGAGAATTCCATGGGCTCTATAGCCCATGCGGTCACAAAGAGCTGGACATGGCTGAGTGACTTTCACTTCACTATAATTTAAGGTCCTTTACCAAATTGCCCATCAGAAATATACTTATCTCTGTCCAGTGTTTGGAGCCTCCTTCTCAATAGGTTTTTCAATCATTCTTAATTTGACTAGCTGTTTAAAATTGCAGTTCTTGGATTACTAATGAGGAAAAGTATGTATTCACTTGTCAAATGAATTTTCAATCTTTGTTTATGGTGACTTTTGCTGTGTAGTAACTTCTATTATTATGTTCTATGTAAACAAATATTTCTGTTCCTTCCCTTATGATGTTTGTTCAAAGCTTCTTTTTTCTAAACCTAGACCCTCCCTACACCAAGGTGATGAAAATAGTCTCTTAAATGTTTCTTTAATTTTTCTGGTTCTATACTTTAAATTTACACCTTTAATTAAACTAGAGCATGTGAGTGTGTGTTTGTAATATGGGGGGGGGGGTATAACTTGTTTGAATAACTTTTTACTAGTTTTCAATTTGAATTTTAACATTTATGAATTTATTGCCAGAATTTCTTTTATGTCTGTACATGTATGTGTTTATTCTTGTTCCTTCCTACAATAAACAGAGCTTATTTGTTCTTTTTATTATTTTTAACTGATGGGACGGTCCACTGAACTATAGTTGCAAAGTTGTCCTATTTCCTTGTTTTTCAAATAAATTAATTGAGTCACGCCCTTATAATGGCATCGTGATTGTGGAGAATTATAATTAAGTTGGAAGAAAACTTACATCTTTACTGATTGAGTTTCTCTATCTAGGAGCAACCCACACCTAGCTGCTCATGTGTTCTTTTCTTTTGTGATTGAACTTTTCTTTCTTTTGGTCCTTTATACCTAGTTTTTTAGTTCTTTGGTTGAAAGCAATAAAACTACTGTAACAAACCATTTCAACATAACATGTCAACATAACAACATTTCAACATAACAAATCAATTGAAACTTTCATCAACTGAACATTTCAACATAAAAAATCAACTGAACCTTTATAGGGAAAAAAACAAACGAAAAATAATGGATTCAGAAAAAGCAGATGGCCAGAGTAACTCTGGGGACCCACACAGTAGGATGTATTGGACATCTCCAGATCCCCACGATAGAGTGAGGCGTCTGCTGTACAGAAAAGGAGGAAGAGACAGTGGGCAGCCAAAAACCAAAGTAGACTCTATTTTAAGCTTATTATCATTATTGCTAGAGTGACTAGAATAACAGTTTTAATTTGATAACTAGTTGATTATTTCTGGTATTAAATTATTTTTTAATCTTACTTTAATAAAATTTTCTATATTTTCAGTAATTTGAATATTTTTTCATTTTTATTGAATTCTCTAAGCATTCAAAATATAAAAAGATTACTTTCTCTATTCCACTTGAAAATTTATTATTAGATCTTTTCTTATGTTATTTTAGTATAGAGAATAATC